GCAACGTCATTGGAAGATGTCGGTATGGAATTCCACAAGTGGGCTACTTCCTATGAGCAGGTTAGCGGTTGCACGATTTTGATGAAGTTTCTACAAAGATTTCTACTTACTACCTAATAGGAGGTCGAATGAGAGATTATACTGACAATTCGGAATGTTCATGAAAAGTTTAATGAGAGATTACGAGGAATTTGGCGGGTTATCAGTGCGAGATCACGGTAATTGAGAAGGAGGAATTATTGTGGGTTCTTCATTTATATAATTGTAGCTTAAAGCTAAGTGGGGGAGCCCACTGTCTATGATTAGATCACATGGTTGTCTGCTTTTGCTGTTTATGGTTATCAGTTCATTGGTGAATTATTTATCACTAAGAAAAGGGAACACTAGGGGTAACTCGAGCAAAGAACTTGATGAATGTGTGCTATATTTTGCCTTCTCGATTCATGTGCAGGTTATGGAAAGACTCAGAGTTTATGCTTCTTGTGGATGTGATGTACAAGGAAAAGAATTCATCTGGTTGCTTCTTTGGGAGTGTTTATGAGCTAACAGAGCATTGGAGTTGGATTATATTCGGGATCAAGTCAGAGTGGGTGACTCTCAATAATGGTTCTCATAGGTTCAAGAATTAAAGTGCACTATCTAAGGAATTTGGGTCTGTTGTGTAGTTAAGGATCGAGTTTTTGCAGTGCATTAAGAAAGGGACTTGGAGTGTTTCTATGTTAGCACTGGGGGTCTGCAGTGCAATGTTAGAGAGATGAAAGAAAACAACTTCTAATTCATAGAGAATCTTTCAGAATGGGTGTACGAGTTGGAGATGCTATTGTGCGCATAAGGAGGGTATAAGATAGTTCATGGATATTGAGACTATGTGGTCTCGTAAATTGGGTCACTCGGGATGAGTGTGTTGGGTTTCATTATGTTTTGAATGGAGCTATCATTATTTCTAAGCCAAGTCAAGAGTAAATTGGAAGAAGTGGGGTCAGTTAGTAATGGTTTGAATTAGCATGATTGTGGCAATGATCAGTTCCTTCGGCATGTTGAGTTATACTTGTGGTTTGTGGTTGTACATACGGGCTTGACAACCACCATAATTTGCTTGATATGGGAGGTATTCGATTCCTATGGCCTTGTTATGTAAATGGATCCCGGAAGAGTTATGGCAGTTTAGACCACGACTTGAGGTTTGTATTTTTTGCGGTCGTGGAAATTCAATTGTATGTTGCAATGGTTCTTCTAAAATGAGTTAAGTAAAAGGTTTCTAGCCAATGAAGTGTTTATTCTACTAGTAGTTTAGGGGTTATGATGAATTATTGTACTTTCACGTAGCGGCATGATAGGTGCAGTGAGCGGCATGGGAATTGGAAGTTGAGGATCAAGGTTGCGGCTCGGTGTTGAAAAGAATGTCACGAGCTCGGATGGGCAGGGAAGAATTCAGATGGTTAGAGTAAGCTGGCATTATCATAGTGTCGCCTGAGAATGGTGTTCTGTGGAAGAGGCATTGTGTATTGATTTGCAGATTCGTGATTTACTTTACAGAATTAGTACGGTTGGTGGTATGGAGGTGCAGACTTTGCTACCTGGTGCGGAAGGTCGAGAGAGCATATCCCATGGGAAAATTGTATGTGTGACATGTTAGTCACTTGATTGTTAAGGACTGAAACCAAGTATGGAGATTCTGGTACTATCGCTAATGTGAGAGTTTATGCCTGAAAGGCGCTCTATTCCTTTGGTTGCAGACTGTGGGAGTTTGTTCTGCATTGAACGACTGCTCGTGTGTATTATGAATAGGGCCATTGTGGATCCTTGAAAGGTTGTTGGCCCAGTATGGTATGATCAGAATCGGTTTAAGGTCCGTTGGTGGGTCTAATATGAATGTGTGCTCTACGTCAGGTCGGAAGTATTCATTCGGCATAACATTGCTTACGGAGGAGTCTTTGGGCGTTGTATGTTATTCCCGTCGTCGGTTATTCCATGTATCTCTATTGTGGCAGGTGGGTTGTGAGATGACTTGATTATTCGCATATGTGTTGTGATCCCGTGTAGTGTGTGGTGTTATATGAGGAAGATGGTTCTCCAGATGCAGGTAATTCATTGCACCTTAGTCGTCCTAGGGGTTTTGTAGCGTATGGCACTATCCGTCTCCCCAGGATTGTATTATGCACCTAGCATGCTTGTGGTCGATATTCGAACACTTCGTAAGTATAAGCATTTCGGCTTGATGGGTGTTTAGTTATTGATTGTTATGTGTGGATCGGATGGCACGTCGCCACGGGTATATTGTTTGGATTGGGGTGGCATGCCGCCACGGGTATGTTGTGTGGATCGGGTTGCGCACCGCAACGATGTCATGTTTGCATCGGGTTGCACGCCGTAACAGTGTCATATTTGGATCGGGTTGCACGCTGCAACAGTGACATGTTAAGTACTGTTCCTTATACTTATTTTGTGTACCTTGTTTCCCATCTCTGAGATAGAGCCATAACATCGGTTAGCCGCAACAGTGTACCTTGGCACGTTCGAGGACGAGCATATATGTAAGTGGGGGGAGAATGTAACGACCCGACCGGTTGTTTTGAGATCTAGCGTGTCGTTCGACGGTTTCAAGCCTTGAGTAGCTTCACTTCAGGCATTATGACTTGTACGTGTGGTCGGAATTAAATTTCTGGAAGTTCGGAGTTGATTTGGAAAGAAAATTATAAATTCAGAAGCTTTAAGTTGGAAGAGTTTACCAGAGTTTGACTTTTGAGTAAACGACCTCGGAATCAGTATTTGAAGGTTCCAATAGATTCGTATGATGATTTCGGACTTGGGCGTATGTTCGGGTTGAGTATCGGGTGATCCGGGGGCATTTCGGCGCTTAATATGGAAACGTGGCATTTTGAACGGTTTAGATTTTCTTAAGTTTGGTTTGAAGTGGACTTTGCTGTTATCGATTTCTGTTTGGGGTTCCAAGCCTTGGAATAGGTTCGCATCGTGATTTATGACTTGCATGTAAAATTTGGTGTTATTCTAGAAAGTTTACGTGTGATTCGGACGCGTTCGGCAAAGGATGAAGGTTTGAAAGTTAAGAGAGTTTAATAAATTGAGTTTGATCTTTAATTCTTGGTTTTGATATTATAATTTGTTTTCCGAGCCTTCGGACAAGTTTACATAGAGCATATAAACTTGTTAGAATGATTGAACGGGGTTCCTGGGACCCCAGGTGAGATTTGGGGTGGTTCTAGACCACTTTTAGGCCTTTTAGAACTGCTGATAACTGGTGTCGAGGGTGTGAAATGCGATGCAGGAGGTTTGGGCCACGATAACGAAGAGCAAAGTGCTTTTCCAGGTCTTGTGAACCGCGATCGCGGAAGGAAGGTCGCAATTGCGTAGAAGGAATTTCTGTTGTCAGTAGTCTGACTTCGGAATCTTATTTCTTGCAATCTATAAGGAATTTGGAGATGATCCAAAAATAAAAGTTGTAGACCTTTGAATCTAGTTTTAAGAAAATTAAGCCGTTTGGATTTGGAATGTTTTACAAAAAGTTATGGCCATTATGGTGAAGTGTGTCTGTGAAGAAGAAAACACAAATTGTACATTGCGATCGCGGGAATTTGGTCGCGATCGCGATGAAGGAAACATTGCTGGAACTTTTTTTAACTGCGATCGCGAGGCTTATGATTGCGATCATGAAGAAGGAGGCCTGGCATGTGTATTAAACATCTAATTTCGGAATTTTAAGCTCATTTCTTCACTTTTAAGTTCTTGGAGCACATGTAGGGTAGTTCTTGAAGACAATTTTCGCCATATATCATAAGGTAAGTTATTCCTACTTATTTCGAGTCAAATAATTGGGTTATATATGGATTTTAACATGGAATTTGATAGAAATTGTGGAAATTTTGGAAGAAAACCTAGAAATGGTATTTTTGGATTTTGATATGAAATTAGACATGAAATTGGGAATACATTATATAATTGAGTTCGTGGTACTATGGGTTATGTACTCATGCTACACTTACTTGATATGCGTTGATTTACGTACTCATGCTACATTTCTGCTCTAAATGTGCAGGATCTGACAAATTCATTTGGTGGTCATCTTGGGGAGTAGGCGCAGTTGCTGAGGAGACTTTTGGTGAGCTACATTCCAGGCTATGTATCGCAGCCCACAAAGTCTCCATCGTACTATTTACTCTATCCTGGCTTATTTACATTTTGGACAGATGTTGTATTATTATTGTACTTCTTAGTAAATGCTCATGCACTTGTGACACCGAATTTTGGAGATACTCTAGTGATTGTTATGTTTCGGCTTAAGATTGTTATCTTTTATTTTATATCTTACTAATATTTTAAGTATTGATGATTTTTAAAAGCATTGAATTTTTTATTTAATAAGGCTTATGATTTTAAAAATAATAAAATAAATAATTAAGCCGATAGAGTACCGTTGGCTTGCCTATTGGTGACGTTGGACGACATCACGACCTATAGTGGATTTTGGGTCATGACAATACATGTAAAATCAAAATAGAATAAGTGAAACATATAAGTGTTATTTGAGTATTGTACGATAAGAAGAAACCTACATAAGTAAAATTAAGTTCTACCGAACATTTACCAGACCTACCATCTTATATGTGGTACAAGTTGGTTGCAAAAAATAAAGATAGCAAATTAAATAAAAAGATGTATAACCAATAAACCTGGCGTAGGAGGAAAAATATAAAAAATAATTAGTAAATAAAATTACCTAACCTAACTAAATTGCATCTTTTTACATGGCCAGCCAAAAAACGTTTATGTTCACTTGATACTATTGATGATGTATACTATTCAATTAGAGTTCATCAACCAAATTTATTCTGCAAGCATTGAAATTGACTCGGGTATAATTTGTTGGCAATGAAACATGAGTACTACTTGTAAGGATAATGTTGCGTAGGAATTGTTGAAATGTATTTATATAGAGTTGGTGTAATTGTTATTTCATTAGGAGTCCTAAGCAGTGACTACTTTGGAGTCTTGTTCTCCAAGAAATTCATGTATATATTTATGTATTTGCACACAAGACTAGTGTGCAGAGAAAGTGTGTTCTGATCTATTATGGTATCAAGAGCCATCAGAGGTTAAACCAACCCAGAATCCTTTTTTTTTCTACCAAAAAAAAGGAGAGAGACCAACACGCTTCCATGGGTGAAAACAGGCGCTCTTCCATGACTTCAAGCCTATCTATTATCTCATATTCTCCAAACCTCGCACATGAATTGCCCGTGATACTCACATCTTCCAATTTTCTATTATGGAAGACACAATTTATGCCTATCGTATATGCATCTGGTTTGAACCGATGCCAACACAATTTCTGGATGATACCGATACCAAACCCAACCCGGACTATACGGTTTGGCTACGTGAAGACCAACTTGTTTTAAGTTGGATTGCTGCTTCTGTTTCAGAAAGCATCCTGCCTCAGTTGGTTGGAGCAGCGACTGCTCGTGCATTTTGGGACAAACTTGTTGTTGCATATGCTTCAGGATCAAAGCCACTAATTTTTCATGACCTCAAGATGCAGTTGCACACTTTGCATCATGATAATGCTAATATTGAATCGTATGTGCAAAAGGCAAAGGGAATAGCAGATAAGTTGGCTGCATTGCATCATCCGATTCCCAATGATGATTTGGTGGAATTTGTTCTTGCTAGACTAGGACCTGCCTATCGTCCTTATACGATGTCTATTGAATCACGTCAACAGGATATTAGTTTTGATGTATTGTATGGATTGTTGTTGAATGAAGACAGTTAAAAATGGATAAAGCCCATACTGTCATTGCACCTGCAGCACACTTGTGGACGTGGTAGAGGTCGAGGGGATCGAGGCCGTGGACACTCCTCCAATCAAGGGTTCAGCCAATCATCTCAAAATAGTGGGTTTCAGAACTTTGCTCAGACCAATACTACTCCATCTCAAGCTTCAACCATGTCTAGAATTAATTTCTATAATTGTGAAGGTAAAGGTCATCTTGCACGCGTGTGTCCATCTCCTAGAATTAACAATGGCAACAAAGCTTCTGGACCACATATTTCTAATTTGGCAAGAACCTCTTCTGCTCAGATTGGTTAATAGATAGTGGCACCACACATCATCTCACAACTGATCTTATTAACCTGGGTATTCTTTCTGAATATCAAGGCCCTAAAGAAGTAACGTTAGGTAATGGTTCAAAACTTCTTATTTTCCACGTTGGTAAAAGTTCAGTTATTATTTCTGATAAAAAGTTCACTCTTGACGATATCCTACATGTTTCAAATGCTACTCAAAATTTATTATCTATTAGTTCTTTTACTAAGTCTAACCAAGTTTCAATTGAATTGGTTCCTAATTATTTTTTGATTAAGGACTTGGCGACGAGGGAAATACTACATACATGCCAGGATAAAGCTGGATTATGTTCTCTTCCTGTATTGAAGTCATCCGCACCTGCTTCTTATGTTGCGTCCCTTGGGGTTTAGCATGCTCGTTTGGCTCATACATCCTATCCTACAGTTCGTCAAGTATTATCGTCTAACGTCATTATCCCTTTATTTAAATCTTCTAGTTTATGTTCTACATGTACTGTTAGTAAGAGTCATAAAATTCCTTTTCGTGAGTCTAGTTTTCAAGCCTTCGGGCCTTTAGACTTAGTTTGTTCGGATGATTAGGGTCCTGCTCCAGTTATTTCTAATGAAGGTTATAGGTATTATGTGATTTTCTTTGATCACTTCAGCAAATATACATGGATTTATTTTCTTCGACTAAAATCAGAAGTCCTTTCAATTTTTATGCAATATTGTAAAATTGTTGAAAAATACTCTGGTCGTCCCATTAGAAGGTTTTAGGAAGATTGGGGAGGAGAGTATCAAGCCGTAATAAATTACTTGAGAGATAATGGAATTGTGCAACGTTCCTCATGTCCATATACCCCAGAACAAAATGGTTGTGCCGAAAGAAAATATTGGCATATTGTTGAAACTTGTCGAGCACTGCTACATCATGCTAATGTTCCACACAAATTTTGGACAAACTCATTTGATACTGATGTGTATACTATAAATCGTCTACCAATGCCACATTTAAAAAATAAAACCCCATTTTATGCATTGTTTAACACCAATCCAGATTACTCATTTTTGCGTATTTTGGGTGCCTTTGTTTTCTGTGGCTTCGTTCTTACACTAAGGATAAATTGTCTCCTCAATCTAAACTGTGTGTGTTTCTGGTACAAATGGTTTGGCCCAGTTTCATCAAAATTCTATGTTTCTCGTCATGTAATCTTTGATGAATATGTTTTTTCTTTCGTTTCATAGGGTGTTATTGTGCCTCCATCCATAACCAATACTAAATCAGAACCTCTCAATGTTCAATTGCCATTGCAGCCTTTGGTTGGCCCTTCTAGCATTCAACCAACACTGTCGCAACCTTCTGTGCCACTGCACACATCCTTGTCACATGTCTTTCCTATTCCTGGACACACAACTGCTACTGATCAACCTTCACATGTTGAAGTTTCTCATGGTGTAGACTTGATGTCACCAACTCGAGCTGAAGAAAATCCTCCATATACTGATACGGTGAACTATAGTGCTCTTGGAGACACTTCAACTACTGGTACGCTACAACCAACAACTCTTCCTTTGCAAAAGATGGCCACACGAGCACAAACAAGCTCTGTGAAGCCAAATAAGCCATTTCAATGTCAGTTACGACTCCAATATCGGCAATAATGGAACCTTCTTGCTACTCACAAGCTATTAAGGATGTTCACTGGCGTCAGGCTATGTCAGAGAAGTATAGTGCGCTTATTCAAAATGGTACTTGGGAACTAGTTCCACCATCGCCAACTCAAAATGTAATTAGTTGTAAGTGGGTGTTCAAGACGAAGCTAAAACATGATGGTTCATTGGATCGCTATAAAGCGAGTCTTGTGGCTAAAGGATATCATCAACGACCGAGCATCAATTTTGTTGATACATTTAGTCCAGTGGTTAAGCCGTATACAATACATTTGTTGTTATCATTGGTTATATCTCACCAATGGTACATCACTCAGCTAGATATTTCCAATGCGTTTCTTCATGGGTACTTAGATGATATTGTACATATGTCTCACCTCCAGGGTTTGTTGATCCTATTTTGATCTATTACTAATTTTCTTGAAGTAAATTGTAAGATTTTAAGAAAATATAAAAGAGTAGATAGTAGGAGTAACGTATTGTGTTGGCAAAGTTCCGCTGTCTCAAAGTTTAGGTGGTTAAAAAAAGGCAGAATATGTAAAGATCTTGTAACGATCCGGCCGGTCATTTTGAGTATTACAGCCATGTTCCCCCATTTATTGTCTATTCTATATTTGTTTGTTGTTATGTGACTTTCCGGAGTTGTTGGGTTTAGTTTCGGGGATGTTTCGGAATGAATTGGGATTGGTATCAAGGTTGGAAGTCTAAGTTGAAAGAGTTGACCGGATGTTGACTTATGTGTAAATTACTCTGAAATGGAGTTTTCATAGTTCTGATAGATCTGTATGATGATTTTGGACTTAGTGGTGTATCTGGATATTGATTTGGAGGTCCGTAGATAATTTTGGCTTGAATTGGCGAAAGTTGGAAAAGTTGAAGCTTGGAGAGTTGAGAAGTTTGACCAATAGTTGACTTTATGATTATCGTGCTCAGATTTTAGTTCCGAAAGTTGGAATAGGTTCATTGTGTCATTTATGACTTGTGTGCAAAATTTGAGGTCAATGAGAGTTAATTTGATAGGTCTCGGCATTAGTTTTGGAAGTTAGAAGTTCATAAGTTCATTAGGCTTGAATCGATGTGTGATTCATGGTTTTAGTGGTGTTTGATGTAATTTGAGGTTTCAAGCAAGTTTGTATGATATTTTAGGACTTGTTGGTATATTTGGTTGAGATCCCGTGGTCTTCGGGTGGATTTCGGATGGTTAACGGATAAAAAATGGGACTTGAAGCATTGTTGAGAATTTGGATCTTCTGGTGTGATCGCACCTGCGAGGGGATTAGTCGCAGGTGCGACGCCGAAGGTACGACTGGAGTAGCACAAAAGCTAGGTTGGTCTGGCTAAGGGAGTATAGCAGGTGCGGAGGGAGGAGCGCATCTGCGAGTCCACAGAGGCAGAATGTGGTCGCATGTGCGAAATTTCAAAATTTGCTCTGGGCGTATAGGTGCGGACGTGGTGCCGCAGGTGCGAGCCTTTGGCAGCAAAAGCGCTGGTCGGGGGTTGAGTGTAATTCCGCAGGTGCGGATTGTTAGCTTCAAAAGCGGTACTGTATAAGCGGCTAAATGGGTCGCAAAAGCGAAATGCCTGGCAGTGTCTTAAATTCGAAGGGTTTCGTGATTTCTTCATTTTTGGTCTTTGGGAGCTCGGATTAAGGCAATATTTGAAGGGTTTTTTGCTAGATCTCAAGAGGTAAGCAACCTTTGGTCGTGTTTTTTAATAATATTGAATGCCTATTGAATTTCCCACCTAGATTATGTGTTTTTAAGGTGAAAATTGGGGACTTTTGGTCTAGGGGATTGGAGAGTAAGATTTGGTAACTTTGGTATGGTTGAACTCGTTATTGAATGGGTGTTCGCATTTTGTTAATTTTGTTGGATTCCGAGACGTGGGCCCGTGGTTGACTTTTTGACTTTTGTTAAAGAACCTAGTTTTATCATATGGAATCGATTCCTATAGCTTGTGTTGATTGTATCGAGTTATTTGTGGCTAGATTCGAGTCGCTCGGAGGCCGATTTGCGAGGCAAGGGCTTGTTAGAGTAGAGATTTTCACGATTTGAGGTAAGTAACACTTCTAAACTTGGTTCTGAGGGTACAACTCCCTGAATTATGTGTTCTGTGGTTGGTGTTGAGGTAACACACATGCTAGGTGACGGGCGTGTGGGCGTGCACCATAAAAATTGTGACTCGGTCGTTTCCGTGGAACTGTGTAGTCATCTAATCGTGTTATTATTCATGTATTCTCCATGTGTTAGAGAAATTGAGCTATGATTCATATTAGAAATCATGCTTAGGCTATATGTTGGTATTATTGGGACCCACAGAGGTCGTTTTGTTATTAAATTACTTGCTTAAATTACAATTATGTACTCAATCACATATATCTTTTGCATATCATATCTCAGTCTCTATTGCCATTTACTGATACATCATATTATCATTGTTTGGGCTGATTGTCATGAGATTTGTGAGCCCAAGAGACTGGATAGATCGATGACTAAGTGAGGTCGAGGGCCTGATTATGAGTGATACTTATGGGATCGGGCTGCACGGCGCAACAAGCTCAATTGATTTATGCCATGATTGGCTTATATTAGCACTAGGGCAGGATCCGTCCCTCCGGAGTCTGACATACCAGCATTGAGCATAGGTACCTACTGAGTGCGAGTGCCGAGTGATTGAGAGTACTGAGTGACTGGGAGGACTGAGTGATTGAGCGTGCTGAGTGAGATTAAATACTCCGAGAGTATGCATATTATTTTATCACTCTGTGCATTATAGATGGCATGCATAATTGACATGTAGATATAGAGATGTAACATTTCTCATAGCAGTCACACTTGGCATATTTTTATTCGTGTCGAACTTAAACTGTTAAACTGGAAAGCATGTCTACATTTCTGTACTGTTAAAATCTGCATTTGAACTTTACCTGTCTGAGCTCGTCACTGCTTTCAGCCCAAAGTTAGTCTTGTTACTTATTGAGTACGATGGGTCGGTTGTAGTCATACTATACTCTACACTTCTTGTGCAGATCCAGGTACTTCCGGGCACAACAGTTGCTAGCTTTGGAGCTTTATGTGTTGGAGACTATTGAGGTAGCTGCAGTGGCGTCCGTAAACCTCAACTCTCCTTCTTTTCAGTTTATTTGTAATGTTCTATCTTTCTTCACAGTTGTTTTTAGCAGTTAGACTATGTTGTCATTTAGATGCTCATGTACTCAGTGACACCCAAATTTTGGGAAATTTTTGTATTGAGTCGCGATATTTTCTTATCATTTAATTATGAGATTTTTACTATTTAAGTTTATTTCAGTATGTTTTAAATTAAAGATGCATGGTTATTTGTGATTATTGGATTGCCTAGTATTGCAATAAGCGTTATCACGACATGTGGGATTTTGGGTCGTGACAGACCCCCCTGAACTTGACACTTTTAATTAGCGTATACCTTACCTATACGTGATTTTAATTACCTCCCTATTGTTTTGGATGTTATTACCCCCTAACCTGCCATATAGCACTGAAAGTTGTTTCAAATGACTGAGTGCGCGTGGGAGTGTATGTTTTTTTGCCACATCAGTTTAACATTTCCCTTTCCCAATCCTTTCCCATCCCCTAACGTAATAAATTAATTTTCCCCCAAAAATTAAGACCCCAGCGGTAACAACCCCCATTCTCACCCCTATTTATTCTCTTCTTTCTAATTCTTCAGCATTTTCTTACTTCTCACTTTCTTCCTTTGTCATTCCAATTCCATTATAGCCATTTTGGCTCTTATTTTTGCCCAAATAACAACCATTTTATTACTTGAAAGAAACAAGATGAATGTTTTTGGTAGATGTGTCAAACCAGCTCCTTTAAAAGTTGCATGGACTACTTCAAATCCTGGACGACGATTCTTTGGATGTAGTCTTTATCCGAAGATAAATTCTTGTCGACTTTTTTAGTGGTATGATCCTCCATTCCTAGAGCAAGCAAACACTGTTATTTCATGGTTGTTGAAGAAGACTAACAAACTATCGAAGAGGGAAAGAATGCTAAAGTTTCTGTTGTTTTTCAGTTTTCTTTGCAATCTGATTTTGTTCATGTGCAAATGATGGTTATTTGGTAGTATGTAATATAAGTTAAGCAATCTCATATGCTATTCGAGACTACTTTGTCAATACTTTGTCAACATAAGGAATTGATGCCAATAACAATTTATATAAAAACAATCACACATAGATGGTAATTTAACAAAAAAAGTCGGAATTTAATATCAAACAATAGAGTTGAACTATATTGTCCATATACTGCTAGACATACATATGACAAACAAGTTCACAAAACAAAGTTGTGTATCATCATCAGTATCAATAAAAATAGCCACCCCAGGAATTCAACAAAAATAGCCACCCCACGAATTCAACAAAAAAGAAGTCTAGTATCTTAAATACTACATCCGAAGAGTAAAGAAATTCAAGTGGTCTTCTTGGAAGGAGATTTTTCCATAACTTTAGATCTTGTTTGTATTCTAGCGGATTAGGACATTGCCTTAATTCTAGCCATTGCAGCTTGGACTTGAAGTTGTCTGTTATAGCTTCCTTCCATTTCCATTTCAAACCTTTAGAAGGCTAATATCCAATATCACCATTAATATGGGTAGAATCAATTAAAGGGCCAATATAAACCTTTCTGGATATAGGCAAACCATGTTGATAAAATTCAAACCAAAAGATACATTTCAAACATCAGATAATATGTTAGACGATAAAATCTACGTTAAACAAAATACACACATTTACATTAACAAGCCAGACTGTTCAACAAATACACAATGTCCTTGAAGCCTAGGCCTCTTGTAGTGGCTTCTTGCCCTCCTAGATTTTTCTCCAGTACTTGTAGATACCTTACTTGTAGATGCCTTGTCGGAATCCTTTCTGCCTCTCTTTTGTGAAGTTTTTGTTGTTGATTGTTGTGAGCAATTAGTAGTCTAGGAAATTCTGNTGTTGTTGATTGCTGTGAGCAATTAGTAATCTAGTATATGAGAAAATGAGGAATTAACTGTTAGATAACTAAGAAGATAGTAATAAAGGAAAAAGGCAGGAAGGTACCTCTTGATTAGTTGTTGGTCTTGTTGGACAACTCCTCATGTTATGAGTACTTGCTTTGCAAATGGAGCATGTCATAGTTTTACCTTCTTTGATAATTTTTAAGCTCTTTTTATTTCTCCAACTTTCTTTCTTCTATTTTTTCTTGGCCTTCCAGGCATATTTTGAACTGGAGGAGGTAATACCTTGAGGTTACTACTTTATGGCCACATTATCATGTTGGGAACTAGTTGTATGAAGTATGAATATGCCTTCATGTAGGTCTCTTTCCTATACCAGTGTGCAATGTTC